CACTCTCCCCCTATCCTCTACGTGTCCCACGTCCATGCATCATAGGATTCATAGCACGCCACACCACTCCACACCGCCAAACCACCACGGCTCACCACCCCCGGAGGGGGGCGCGGGACGCGCCCCGGGCGATGGGGACCAGCGACCCGTGTGGCCGGTCGCACCACCACGGCCACTTCCCGAAACGGGAGCGTGGGGCATTCCCTCAGTGGTGATCCCTCCTGGCCACCCGCCTATTGCCGGCGGGACCCCGACCCCTTCCCGGCCGGCCCACCATTCCTTCCTTGACCTCCCACCTCTTTTGACTTGTACTGCCAAACCTAGTCGAATAGCAAGCATAGTAAATCTTAGCCTATAACCCATATCTCCATCAGTTTCAATGTTATACAAGTACATTATACAAAGCTTGGGCTATGAATATTTTAGTTGAGTGTTCAAGAGTTATTTGAGGGATTGTGAATTTGCGATTGAGTTCAAATGTTCAATATTAAAAATCTAGTCTTCCTTTCATCGTTGATCATGGAGTCTTTTTATAATAGAAGACGATAAATAGTGTTTTCATGGTGAAATAATGTCTATACATAATCCCTTTATAGTCGAGTAATTAACCATTGTGAATCATCCTCGTAATTCTTTATCATAGGATAACACCTATTCATTATAAGACATTATGCCATTATTTAGTCCATAATGGGTTAAACTATCAGGCTATTAAGCTTATATTTATATTTATTTTGACCTTTTGTATTTAATATAATGTTTAAATACGGAGTATATATTTTTTCTTTTTTGAAAGTTACTGGCTTTATTACATTGTAATATCTGTTCATATACTTTCTCAACCTACTGAAACACAAAGAACCAATAACGTACTTTCTCAACCTACTGAAACACAAAAAACCAATAACGCCTCCACTGAGGCTTGAACTCATAATCTTCCAATTGAAAATCCAACCCGGATACCATTAAACCACATAGTCCTGGTTAAATACGGAGTATATAATTATATTAACTAATAAATACTCCGTATTAAATTAAATTCTAAACACTTGTCCTTGAAATTTACTAATAATTCAAAGAGTAAATACCTAAAATGGTCCTTCGACTATAGCTAAATTCACAAATTGGTCATCGACTTTTAATTTCAATCAATTAAGTCCTTAACTTTGCAATTTTAACACAATTTGGTCCTTTGTCTATTTGACCGTTTGTTGACTGCACTTTTTTAGGATATATATGTAATTTCATGGTCCATCATCGATTTTTTAAGGTTCCGGTTGCATTTCTAGACCGCATTGTTACATTTGAGTCCACTGTCGGCGCTGCACCCCATGCCGGAGAGATTATAGCATTTGATAGATAGATCATTGAAGTCCCTGGAGTGGCTCTTCGAGAAAGCCGTGACTCCAAGCAATGTAGGCAAGCTGAACCGGCTTGGGATCGTCAAGCAGCAAGCGGAGAAGCACTTCCCCCCTCCGAAACGGCGCTGTCACCTCCAAGAGCGTTCTCTAAGCTGAATCGGCTCGTGATCCCCAAGCAGCAAGCGGAGAAGCACTTCCCCCTCCGAAACAACGATGTTACCTCCAAGAGCGTTCTCTTGAGCTTTGCACGTGAAACTACATATATATCCTCAAAGATCGCGGTCAACAAACGGTGAAATAGATGGAGGACCAAGCCGTGTCAAAATTACAAAGTTAAGGACTTAATTAGTTGAAATTGAAAACCGATGACCAATTTGTGAATTTAACTATAGGCGAGGAACCACTTGAGGTATTTACTCTAATTCAAATTTAGTGCCCACTGCCATACACCAAAATCCCGGGCAGAAATGGGAGCCGATCCGCGACGCGCCCACGCGCGGGCCATCACAAGCGGCGACGCGGCAACCAACCGCGGGGCGCTCAACAATCTCATCACTCTCTACTCCAAGTCCGGCCGCCGCTCCGAAGCCCTCCGCGTCTTTGAATCCATCCCTTCCCCCAATGTGGTTTCATGGACTTCTCTCATCTCCACATTTCACGATTCAACGCTCTCCTTCCGCCACTTCCTGTCCATGCTGCGCCACCGCCGCCGTATCCTCCCCAACAACCGTACTTTAGCCGCCCTCCTCAAAACCTGCGCCTCCCTTTCCGCTCTCTCGTTCGGCCTCCAGGTTCACTCCTTGGCGCGCAAGCTGGGGCTCTCTTCCGAGCCGTTCACGGCGTCTGCGCTCGTTTCTTTTTATTGCAAGACAGGGTTTGTTGATCACGCACGGAAGGTGTTCGATGAAATGCTTGACAAAGATGAGGTTTGTTTCTCGTCGATGGTTGTTGGTTTGGCTCAGAATTCGAGACCCGTTGAGGCTTTGTATTATTTTGCTGAGATGAGGAGGGCCGGGGTGGTCTCGACTATGTACAGTGTTTCGGGGGCATTACGGGCTGCTTCAGAAATGGCTATGTTTGAGCAATGTAGAATACTTCATGGGCATACAGTGATGACCGGGCTGGATTTGAATGTTGTTGTAGGTAGTGCCCTGATTGATGGGTATGGGAGATGTGGGCTTGTTAGGGAGGCTCGCGCCATGTTTGATGAACTGGAAATGGTGTTGAATGTTGTGGGATGGAGCACGATGATGTCCGGGTATGCACAACAAGGGGATTTCAAGAATGTGATTGAGCTTCTCGGGTTGATGCAAGAGCGAGGCATGAAGCCTGATCAGTACAGTTTTTTAGCTGTTTTGACTGCTTTTTATCATGCAGGAATGGCTGAAGAGGCAGAAAGATGGTTCGGGAGGATGAAGGAAGAGTACGGTTTGGAGCCCTGGCTCGAACATTATACATGTTTGATTGGTGCTATGGGTAAAGCTGGCGAACTGGAATCAGCTGAGACGGTTGCATTGACAATGCCATTCGAGCCAGATGCAGCTGTCTGGCGTGCGTTATTATCAACAAGCACATATCATGGGAAGACCGACATCGCCTGGAAGATGAGAGACAAGTTGTTGGAGATCAACCCTAATGACGACTCGGCTTATGTCCTTTTAGCAAATGCGTTTGCAAGTGCAGGGAGGTGGGACGAGGTGAAGGAAGAGTGGAAGACAATGAAGGACAAGAGAGTAAGGAAGGAAGGCGGGAGGAGTTGGATTGAAGTGCGTGGGGAGGTTCATGTGTTTTTGGCCGAGGATAGGACGCATGAAAGGAGGGATGAGATTTATGAAAAGTTAGCAGAGCTTATGGAAGCGATTGAAAGGCTAGGATACGTGCCCGTGTGGAATGAAATGCTACACGAAGTAGACGAGAAGCAAAAAAGAGAAGCACTTTGGTATCACAGCGAGAAGCTGGCACTTGCATTCGGGCTGTTGAGTGGATCAACTCCACCTGGTAAAGCTCTGAGAATTGTGAAAAATTTGAGGATATGCAGGGATTGCCATGAAGCTTTCAAGTATATTAGCAGGGTAGTAGACAGGGAGATTATAGTGAGGGATGTTAATAGATACCATACATTCTTGAATGGCAGTTGTAGTTGTGGGGATAACTGGTAACCTATTTAGAATGACAGGTTTGAAGCCATTTGAAAAGTTTTGGCATTTGTTTCGTGAGAGTAATGTTTGGATATTTATTCGGCAATATATATTGCAAATTTGGGTGGGAGGAACTTGAAAAGTACAAAGGCTGAAGCTAACGCTTCGCAACATATATGTTTTGGAAATACCATCGTGTAACTAGATCATCAAATAAAAAGTTAAAAAAAAAAAACAATTTGTGCAACTAAAACATCTGACCCTAAAAATTTGTGCAATTAATATTAATTACAGATAAACATACAAATTATTAGAGATAATCAAATTGCCTCCATCATTGGAGGCCTACAAGGGCACTTTGCTACACATTTTCGAGGTTTCCTACATCCTCCACTTTCCCATAGCTTCTCATAGTTTATAGAATTTTCTAGAAGCATGTATATAATACTAGTAGTTGTAGAGATCCTTAGAATATTATAGAACTCTATAAAATCTCCTTAGTTGTGTAGAGATTTAGAAAATGTTCTAAAACTACATTATTAGCCATTACATCAAGTAAATCTCCACCATCCACTGAGGAAGTAGAATGACTATAAATATCTCTCAATGAGTTTTTGAGTTCTTTAGACGTAACGAGTCCGAAGCCTTACAAGTCCTAGGACCTGCATAAATGCAGGTTTGATAATAAATAAAGGGCACTTTAGTTACTATCAGTTACCCAAATGGTTTAACCATTGGTAGATCTACAATACACTTCTGCATCTATTCCTGTGATATAAATATTTGATAGACAAAGAAAAACCATAGCTACCTAGATGGTAAGATCTTGCATACTAAATAGCTTTTGGTTATGTGTAAAGATCAGAGAACTACGTAGATTACCTTTTCATAGATCCTATAACATTATTTAATAATATTATTTAAAGATAAAACAAAGTAACGGAGTTGGCCAAAATGACAATACTGAAGCAATACACATCATGTAGATCTACAGATAGTCTATTTCCTCCCTAAAAAGACTGGGTGGATGGGTTCATCCCAAAATACCCTGAACACCATAAAGTAAACATTTTTTCCTTTTATCACAAAATTAATTTAGCTTACTTTCCTACCTCTAGGAGAACAAAAGAAGGAAAGAAGGAAAGAACAAATAATTCAGAAACTAATCTCAAATAAAGAAAGCATCAATATCTACACCTTCTACTAAACCTCCACATAAATATATATTAACACAATAAAACAAAAAAAATAATATAAATTCTACCATCACCATCATGAGGGATGAAAAACAAAGATAACACAGGAATCAATCCAGGAATTACTGATAGGAACATTATATAAAAGCTCAATTTTATCAATGTAGCAGCATATCAATATCAATTTCAAGGTATGATATATCAGAAATTCAACATCCATTAAAACTAAAAAGCTCAATTTATCAATGTAGCAGCATATCAATATCAATTTCAAACAGTATGATATATCAAAAATTCAACATCAATTAAAACTAAAAAGCTTAATTTATCAATGTAGCAGCATATCAACTTCAACAGATATATCAGAAATTCAACATCCATTAAAACGAAACTCTCTCAAAAGCAGGATACTCTAAATTCCAACAGGCCCCAAACCTAACGGTGAAAGACCCGATTACTTTGGTGGTGGACCAACGGAGGGAGTACCGAGGAGGCTGGCCTGCTGGAGATCGAGTTCGTTGAGCTGCTGTTCACGGTCCATTACAATGATCAGTGGGACGGCGATGATGAGGAGAGTGGTGGCGGCGATCCACGCCGCCTTGCCAGTGCTCTTGGCCAACCGCTTCCCCACGTAGGCGGCGTCACTGGCGGCGCTCTTGCCTTTGCGGACTATTGAGGAGTCGGAGACGCGAGAAATAATGGAGCGGTCGCTGCTGCCGCCGCTGGATTTGCCTTTAGATGCCATTGTAGACTTGTAGAGTGCGCGATGGATGACAGGACTCAGAAGGGTTTTGAAGCTTCAGCTAATAGCCTAAAACCCTTTATAATTATAGCACAAGTTTTCTATATTTATTTAAAGCTTATTTTGAGATTTTAAGTGATGAAATATTAGGTTTTAGCATAACTAGTATTTGCGCCCGTGCTTTGTTGTAATATATTAAGAATATTTGGATCGATATATAATTATTTAAATTAAAACATCAAATATTATATAGTGCAATTGAAGGTATGATTTGGATCATTTATGTGTTTTTATGTTATTAATTGCTCAAATTAATAGCTAATATGTAGATGTACGCATGCGGTGCTGTAACTTTGGAGATTTTATTTATCATTGTTCAGTACTTTTATAAATTAGTCAAATGTGCTCGTTCTCTAGCAACTCAGTTATAAAAATGAATTGATATCCTAATTTATTTGTATGGAAAATCTATTTTTTGTCTAGATATATAGCAATTTTTCCATTAAAAAAAAACATAATATCACAAATTGTATTTACATACTATTGAAACCTCTTTGTAGACAACATTGGTAGTAACAACACAATCTTGTCTATCTTCGTCTAGAGCTAACACCTTTAGTCCAAAAGAATGGGTGACTCGGGTGAAAATATATAATGGTAGAATTTCAGTCAATTAGTGATCCTTTTATATTTTCAGTCAATTAGTAATATCAAATTCATTTTCAGCCAATTATTCTTTTTTATTTTTACTTTTTTTTTAGTCAATTAGAATATTAGATGCATTGATATTTTTACCTAATTTCTGTTCCAGTTATAATTAATAATGTAGAATATTTTTATTGAAATATTTTCTTTGTATTTTTAATTTAATTTTACTATTGTTTAAAATATGCATTTACTATTGATGATGTAGAATATTATTATTGAAATATTTTCGTCCAATTTTTAATTTCTGTTCCATTTTTTAATTAAAATGCAATGATCTGTCAATTTATTTTTTCATTTCAATTATGGATCATTTTTTTTTATTTGTAGTCAATTATTAATATTCATTTCCTTTTATAATTTCAGTCAATTACTAATATCAGATTCACTTTCAGACAATTATTTTTTTTTTTTTATTTTCAGTCAATTAGATAATTAGAATATCAGATGCAGTGATATTTTTACCTATCTGAACCATTTTTAATTAATGATGTAGAATATTTTTATTGAAATATTTCCGTTCCATTTTTAGTTTACCTTTACTATTGTTTAAAATATGTCTTTACTATTGATGGTGTAGAATATTATTATTGAAATCTTTCCTTTTCATTTTTTTTATTTACTTTTACTTTATGATGTAGGATATTATTATTGAAATATTTCCGTTCCATTTTTTATTTATGTTTCATTGCTTGAAATTGTGAAATATTTATGATATAATTGTGATTTAATTTATTCTACTCTGTAATATTATTGTGAAAAATTAAAATGCAATAATCAGACAATTTTCTTGTCCATTTTAATCAATTATGGATCATTTTTTATTTTTAATCAATTATTAATATTCATTTCCTTTTACAATTAACCTAATTTCTGTTTCTTTTTTCATTTTTAATTTTCAGTCAATTATTAATATTCATTTTATTTTCTAATTTAACTAATTTTTGTTCCATTTTTAATTGATGATGATGTAGAGAATTATTGTGAAATATTTATGTTCCTTTTTTTTTAATTTACCTTTACTATTTACTATTGTTTGAGCGGAAAATCAAGTAAATAGAATTTTGTTTTTAATTATATTATAGATTATAGATTATAGATTTTCCAGCAATCCAAACACTTCGATCCCTTAGTATCCCATCAAAAAATGGATAAAGAAAAGTCATTTCATTAATAAAATTAAAAATAATTAAATTAAATCTAATAATAATAAAAAAAAATTTAAATCTAATAATGCTATATTTATTTGTAACTGTATATTGATTTCATTTTGAAATTATTGGTTCACATATTTGAATTATTTATTTTTTCTTTAATTATTATAAACAGAAATGATACTGTACTAATTAATTTATGATATTTATCAAATTATATTTTTTAAAAATATAGTGTTTTACCGGCAATTTATATCATGCACCAGGGCGCGCATTGCATTGTGCGCCCTGATGCAATACATAACTGTATAAAAAGATACACATAATTTTATAAATAAATACACATAATTGTATAAACAAACACACATAACTGTATAAAAAAATACACATAATTGTATAAATAAATACACATAATGATATAAACAAATACACATAATCACGTCAACCCCCTTCCGCGCCTCCCAAAACGACGTCGTTTTGAGAGACGCGGGACGCACAGTGCTGAGCGCGCCGTGGTGCAGGGTATAACGATTGTGTTTTACCCATGCGTTGCACGATTTTTTTTTTTTATATTATGAATTTAAAATTAAAAATAGAAAACAATGAAAATATATTATAATGTACAATATAATAATATAGTTGGACTTTTATATATTTGGTCAAGTATCTATTTTCATAATATACAAAATTTAAATTTAAATTTTGTATGGTTAATGTTTTTTGGTGTGAGAATTTTTTTTGTATGGTTAATATAATCTCTAATCATGTTGTATATTTAGATAAATTTATTAAAAAAATCACATAATTAAGTTTATTTATTTCTAATTGTATTTCATATATATTATAATTCTAAAAATATGAATACTAACTAAGAGAATTGTATTTAGAAATCAATAAAAAAATGTAAATTCTAAATTTTGTATAAATAAATTTAAACTCCAACCGGACACATTTCCTTATATGATTGTATAATACATTGTATATACACATAATATTTATTAATATGTATATAGAAAAATTCTATAATATAATTTCATTAATTATAATTTATATTGATAGATTTATAATTAAAAAAATTACATTCAGAAATTTAAAAAGTAGCATTTAAATATTGTATGATTATTATAGTGTATAATTGTATGTGTATTTTTTTAAAAAAATTATAAATATTCATGTTTTGTTAATTTTATACTTTCATTTCTTTAATTATATTTCATATTTTATTAATTATAATTTAATGAAATTGTCACAAATATTTCAAGGGAAGAAATCTTATATTTCTCAGTTTCAATAATTATATTAATTATAATTAATAAATATTGTGGCAATTACCATAATAATTTCATTAATTATATTAATTCTAATATTTGTTCTCTTCCAATATTTAAACACATTACCATAATTATCATAATAATTACACGAAAGAAGGAAAGAAAATTATTAGAATAATTACCATTAATAAAAATTAGAAAATTATATTAAAAATTAATTATATATTAAGGTAAGTATAATTTATTTTATGCCAATAATATTATACATTAAGTATATATATATATATATATATATATATATATATATATATATATATATATATATATATATATATATAATTATAGAAAAGGAGATATAATTTTAAAAAGTAAATTATTAATTAGATTGCCTAATATAATTGTCCTACTAATTGATTCCATACTACTATGTATAATTCATATATTTGAATTTTTTAAAGCTAAATACTTATTAATTACCTTAATAATTAAGATAATTTTTAGTCAATCAATATTCAATAGTACTAAGTGTATTACTTCGAATTTTATAAATAAGATATAATATTATTAAATCAAAATAATTAAAATAATGTGTCCATATTACAAAAGATTTTATAATAGTAATTTTTATTGCATAATAGAATTTGTCAATTATTAAACATTGTTTATGGTAATTATTGTATGACATTTAATACTAAGATTATTATGTATAATTTTTATAATTAAGGTATAATATTATTAAATCAAAATGATTAAAAATAACGTGTCCACAATATAAAATAAATTATACTTGTCTTAATAATTATTTATTAATATAAATTTACAATTATAAATTTGTATACGAAAAAACATAGAAACTGAAACTTCTGGTTAAAAAAAAAAAAAAAAAAAAAAAAAAAAAAAAAACTCTCCATTTCCCTTTTTTTTAGGTCACCAATGGATTGTATTTATAGGTAGAGAATGTGAGAATTATAAATTAATAATATAAGTTTCATTTTCCATTTCCGTTTCTATTCAGTCAATTAGAAATTTTTTATAATTTTCAGCCCATTAATAATATACATTTCCTTCTTCAATTTGCATAATTTCAATTTCGTTTTCCAAATCCGTGTTTCATATGTTATTCCCATACATAATATTCACGTTACTATAAATTGATTAGCAATTAATACATTTACAATACCATAATTATGCAATATTACCAATTAATACATTTTAATTAATTTACATTAAACATATGCTTACCACGGAAGAAAATGGGATATAATTTAAAAAGTAAATTATTAATTAGATTACCTAATATAATTGTCCTACTAATTGATTCAATGGTTGTATAAATCATATATTTGTAAACTTTTTAAAGCTAAATACCTATTAATTGCCACAATAATAATTAAGATTATTTTTAGTCAATCAATATTCAATAGTAGTAAAAGTATTACTTTGATTTTTTATAAATAGGATATAATATTATTAAACCGAAATAATTAAAAATAATGTATCCATAGTACAAAAGATTTTATAATGCTAATTTTTATTGCCTAATAGAATTTGTCAATTATTAAACATTATTTATGGTAATTATGCTAAATTTACAACATCAAATAATATCTCAAAATCAACTTAGTACTTAAAACTGAAATTACTATACAATAATATTTTCCTCAAAAATAACAAATAATTAAACTTTATTCCTTCTCAACTTGTTCATCCCGAATTCCTATCCATGTTCACCTGTATAAATAATTTTACACAAAAACAGAATGTAGACAAAAATTAGCATAAGCTAAGTAAGTTTCACTTCACCCCGTAAAATAATGGTTTGAATTTTTTATATTTTCAAAACTCATAATTTCATACTTTTCCAAAATACATGTGGAGTTATACATTTTCTTGTATGGAGAATAAATAGTTATTTATGGAGAAGTAACCAAACTTTTTG